ACATGAAGTGAATTACATTCCTGTCTCAAGTTCAGGAATATTTTTCCTTGCCAAAACCAAAGTTGGGGGCGGGGGTGCTGGGCAAACTGTTATTTTCTCATACCTGACAGGAAGCAACTGGCTGCTTTGCAGCTTTGAATTTGGACAATTTGAAAGACATTCCCCAGACCTGACTTCATCCTCCGCACAGATGCCCAACCCTCACAACCCAATAAACTTAGCCCACCAGGTTGAAATCTTCCTGACCACACCATCCCGAATGACGAATGAGGGGGTTCTGTTTGGGAAAGGGCAGGGCAGAAGCAAATGGCTGTGTACCAGATACACCCATTCCTTCCCCTCAGTTATTCAGTGAGGGCAGCACCTTCCCACAGCCGTCTTTGAGTTCAAGGCTTTATCATAAAGTGCCCACTTCACATCCGCTGGCCGAGACTAAGATGCACACACCAGCTTCCTTCTGGAGAAACTACTCTCTTTAACAGAAACCACCCCCCCCTTCCCCGCTGCCCCCATAACCTCTCAGACCTCCTCAATCCCCAGTTTTCTACCACTTTGCCAGGTGTCTCCACCATCGTATCCCACCTCTGCCTATGACACAGACGTCTCATCTAAAGCATCTCTGACCACCTAGTGGACAGCCCAGGTAGAAGGACAGCCTCCCTGGGAACCGGGAGCAGCAAGTCCCAGCTCCAGCAAGTCGGCATGAGCTCCTGACCCTCCCGAGTTTTCTCATTGGTGGAATGCGGCCATTAACCTCTCGCTCTCAGGGATGTGGGGTGGCTCAAATGATAAAGGATGAAATAAATACTCCGTAAACAACTGTGGTTATGCCTTAGCAGGTAAGCCTTTCCAAGGACTAGACTGTCACTCCTTCAGAAAGCAGCTAATTCTGTCACTGGGCTGCCATTTGATAGAGTCTCAGACTCTACACACACCCCTGACCCTTTGTGCCTCCTACCTACTAACCTCTGACCACCATCCAGAGTAAGCAGAAGCAAGTCTACACCCGCAGCTGTGGAACAAGTCTTTAACCAGCCAAGACATCTAAGGATGTGCCTCTCGTTCCCTAGTGCCTTTATGTGTCCCCCTAGTCCTCGGCTGCCAGGGCTTCAAAGCCCCACATACCCTGGCTGCCCTCCCTCAGATCATCATTGCCTCATGTGCGCCACACACCTTGAGGCCTCCGAACAGATCTGTACCCGTGGGAGGACTGGGCTTCCCTGGCCCACGCTCCACACATCCTTGCCCTGGCGCAGTGTGAAGTCACGCTAACATGCAAGGAGCTCTGGGGGCACCTCCTGAGCGCTGGCCACTACAGCTGCCCACACCCCGATCTTTCCTACCAGCTGCCACGTGTCCAGGACGCAGTCAGCAGAACCGCAGCCCTTCACACCCTGACTTCACACCGTGGGTCTGGATCTGCGTTCTAACCTGCTGAGTCATTTTAAATCGGCCCATCCCATGTAAAGGCTGGAGAAGCATTCTTTCTACACCGTCATTCACATCATAGGCACAAACAAAACAAAAAAAGAGCAACAAAGACGGAGAGCCGTGGTTTTACTTTAGAGCTGCAGTGGCCGGCGTGGCTGCGTGGGCTCCAACCACTCACAATGTGCCCATCCCAAGCAAAGACATGCTGTAAATGCCAATGCACAGTAGATTTCAACGATTAAAAAAAAAGATGTCCGTTTGGAGGGGGGGTGGGGTTATGGACATTGGGGAGGGTGTGTGCTATGGTGAGTGCTGTGAAGTGTGTAAACCTGGCGATTCACAGACCTGTACCCCTGGGGATAAAAATATATGTTTATAAAAAATAAAATTAAAAAAAAAAAGATGTCCAAGATTTTGTTTACATTGGTTGCATGTTCAAATAATACTGTAGAGACACTGAGTTAAATCAAATATACTACAAAATTAATTTCACCCATTCCTTTTCAATGTGGCACCAGAAAATGGGAGCTTGACACCGCGTTTCCAGGAGGCAGCACACTGCTCTAGAACTTTCTCCACAGCACCATGCATCGGCACCCTTTTCTCTTTCCACACGGTCTGTGCTGAACTGTCCTGTTTTCAAATTCCCATTTCACAGTCATATCCATGAAGATATTTGGGGGGAGTTTTGCCAAATGTTTTCAATCCATATATTCCATGTATTTCCATATTACGGCAAGCCTTTTGAAAAAAGAGACACCTGCCCTGACTCGTGGCCCAGGCGCCAAGCCCGGCAGGCACCCCGCTCCTCTTTTTCTACCCCTTCAAAGGCCAATTTCTATAGCTGCAGATCCCCTGGCTGGAGTAAGGCAATGAACACCCAACGAGGACAGGCTACTCTCACTGTGCAGGAGTGGAGGAACCTAGATTATATACCTGTATTTAACCTGGATTCTGAGAACAGAACTCAACAAATGTTTTCTAAGCACACAGGTAAATGAACAACTTGCCTGTAGAGTCAGAGCCTTTATTAAGGATCCTTGCTTAGATGACCACTCACATCCAGGTCTTGGTCGCCTCCCCCCCGCATCCCACACCCGCCCTGGGGACAGGAACCTCCAAAGAGCACTGAGATGGAAGAACCTAAAGTTGCCTGGTGACTCTGTCCCCTGCCAATCCTGTGACTTGGATCATGTCACCTCACTGCTTGGTTTGCTCCTTTACCAGCACACGTCACTCGAGGTGTCTGTGGGATTAAGAGAATCCCAGAAGGAATGCTAGGCCATACTATCACACCTGCTCATGCCACTTCCTGTCTCCAGGCCTCCTCCCCCAAGTCCCAGGCCACGTGAGGGGGGCGCAGAGGGCGGGAACACGTGCAGAACAGAAGATGCTCCTTCGTCTTATCGACAGTGACCGCTGCCTTGGCAATTACATTCTTAAGTTGTTAGCAAATGCCTTTGGACTTCGGTCCCTGGAAGGGGCTCAGGTTTCAGACTCTGATCACTGACAGAGGCCATGCTCCATCCCTACTTCTGTGTTCTTTCCTTTACATGAGACCTTTCCTTCCAGTAACAAAAATATTTCCACTGGAAGCTGTGAAAAGGCTTGCTCTTGAACTCCTCAGTGAGGACAGAGACATGCAGAAGGGTCTAGGTCGGTACATCACAGCTTTTGGGAAACTGCCCTCCTCCTGAGGCTGGTACCTGCTGCAGCTGTGGGCCTGGGAAGCCCATCTGTGTTTTATAACTGGCCTCTGGATCGAATCATGAGCCAGCACCAGCCCAGGGAGAAATCATCGCGTGCTTGGGAACAGGCACATGGTCTCAATCCTTCACCAGTGTGAATGAAGAGATCCAGGGCTGAAGGAGATGGTCTCTAGGCCTGCAGCTGGGCAGCCTCGAGAAGCTGGGGACAGAAGCAGCACTGGGCTACACCAGAGCTGTAGGCGAGCAGGCATTAGGAGAGAACAGAAACCGAGAGCCGAGATGCACCCAAAGCAGCCGACAGCAGACCGCACAACCTCTGAGTCAGAGACAGTGACAGGAGACCCGGGAACAGCTGCCCTGACTCCCCATTTCCTATAAAGCCTGACCTTCCTACCGCTGGTTCCACAGGATTCCTCCGCTGTGTGCTAATAATCCCTATTTATTCCTGAGCTTTTGTTGTGGGTTTCTGCACCTGTTACCAAATACACTTAGACCAAGATGCGTTTTCATGTGCTCTTCCCCCTCCTCACCCAAAATTTATAAAAAGACAAGGGTACATCTGCCCGATCCTGGGGCAAGGAGGTGTGCTCTGATCACACATCCCCCGCAAGACACCACCACACAATCCTTTGCTCACCCCCAGCATTTGTTCTCAAGAAGGGTTTATTGCAGGTTAGGTACACTGGTAAGAGGCAAACATCTAACAATTAGAATGAACAACAGGGCCCGCCAGGTTAGAGGATGAGCGGGTAAAACAAATCTACTGATTATGTACAATTATTAAAAAGGGCAGGGTAGTGGGAAAAAAGGAAAAACTGCCAGCAGCCTTCCAGAAGGTTAATAACAGAGGATGTTTGCGGAGCACCTTCCTGCCCCAGTCCTGACTGGGCTTCGGCCCATGTTTCCTCAGTTGTTTCCAGCCGGCTCCAGATGACAAACAGATGATGGAGACTCTGGTGGCTGCTCAGATGCCTGCTCTCTAGAAGCCGACTTGCTGAGAAGACGCCACCTTGGCCCCCCGGGGGAAGCAGCATGCGCCAAGCCTTTCATGAAAAAGCCCAAAGGACAACTTCGTTAGCATTTCCTAATACACATGTGGGAAGAGTTAGCGGGAGAACACACAAGTTGAGGGAACAAAGTGACTTTCCCCTGGGGTCTGTGTACAAATAAATATCCAGTGTCCTCTCAGGTAAGCCCAGCACCCCAAGCTATATGGTGGGCTGCTTCCTCAGGCACCAAAAAGCTCTTCTCAAAGTCTGGAATTAGTGTCCAGTGACCAGACTGTCCTCTTGGGTGCTCAATTCTCCCATCAGAAAGCCAATCCTCCAAACCCCATCAGCAGAGGAAGGAGCCGTGTCACCTCTCACAGGACACCCGCAAAGGGACAAATGCAGTTCTAAGTTCTCGTAAGATAAAAAGGAACACTCCGAGTTTAAATAGGGGAGAGATCTTGGTCCATCCAAAGTGTTTCTATAAAAATGCATTAAATCCCAGATAAAAGTTGCACATTCTCTTGGTGACACTGTAAAATGTCCATTGAACCAAACCAAACCAAAGCAAACAAAACAAAAAAAACCCAAACAAAAAAACCCCACCAACTTCAAATGAGCCTCTCTGAATTTCTGTCCCCAAGGCTAACACTGCATAGGACCCTCCAGGAACCAGAAGGCAGAGCCCAGAGTATGAAAGAAGCAAGCCCCTGGCACAGAGCTCCTGGCTCCCGGCGGCCTTGGGGGTGCCAGCAACCTTCTGGAGGACAGGCAGCGGAGAAAGTCTCTTCAGCGAGTGGACTGCGCGGCAGCCCGGGCAGAAGAGGGGCTTTCCAGCGGTGTGGCGGGCTCCAGCCCGTCTGCCCGGGGCTCAGTCACGGTGGCGGCGCCAGGTCCCTGCCCGCTCACAGCCCGCAGCGGCAGGGGGGCAGGGGGGTGTAGGCGATTCCGGAGGGGCAGGGGCCGGGGCTGGCGGCACGGACACGGGGGGCTCCTCAGCTGAGGGAGGGACTGGAGAGGTCAGCTCCATCCCAGGTCGGCTGCTGTCCTGACAGTGCTTGCTGCAGAAAATCTGCCCCTCCTTATCTAGAGCCGTGTTCTGAGGAGAAAGCAGCGGAGACAACACGTTAGCCCGGCCTGGGCCTGGGTCAGAGCTACCACGACAGGAGCACACGCGGGCATGCACAGGACTCGGGAACAGAAGAGGAGAAATAACATCAAACTTCTCTTCCAACAGAAGCCTGAGAGAAAAGCAACGGCTGCGGATAGCCCTCCCTGGGCAGTCATCCAGGCTTGGCCTCGGCGCCCCGCTCAGCATCAGGCGGCCCTGGATGGCAGCCTGAGGCGATTCTTGTCTGGCTCGGAGCTGGCCTGAGTTCCGAGTGCTTCTTCCCATGCCCAGATCTTGAGCCCAGAAGAATCCTGGGATAACAAGCAAACTCTCCTCGAATGCTAAGTCCCTGACAGTTAGCTTTTCTAAGGCAAGTTCTTCCTCCCAGGGTGAAAAGTGACTCTTGTGTCATATAAATAAGTAATCCCCTTCCAACCCAACTGGTTGCCTCATCTATAAAAGCCTGCAATGTGATGGTGTACCATTACCCAATTTTAGATCTTCCATGATCACCTGACCTGCTCTTCTCCCGGGCAGTTTGATCTTGTTATACACCCACGTTGGTTTTGTTTTGCCTTTTTTTTTTTTTTTTAAGTAAACTCCATGCCCAAGGTGGTGCTTGAACTCACAACCCTGAGATCAAGAGTCATACCCTCCACACTGAGCCAGCCAAGTGCCCCACGCCCAAAGTTTCTAATCTGCTCAACTCCTCCAAGAGCACAGAAAAGGCTATAAACATGAAGGAATCACCTTGCATTTCTGACCTCAGACTGAGAGGCAAGACTTCAGTTATCCTTTGCCTCAGTTTGAACATTTCTTGCTTCTCCAGAGAAGCCCAGCCTGCTGTCATCTCACTGGGTTTCCAAAGGTGCTTTCAGGTCTTGGGCACCTTTACCTAAAAGGCCCAAGGATCAGGAGGTGTTCTGTCATCTAACTGCCCTGGGGGAAAAGATAATACGGAGTCTTTGAGCATTCTACAAGGTCTGGAGGGCGCAGGAATAAACCACAGAGTCTTCTACAACGGGCTTGCATGGCTGCCTTCAGGGCACTCCACGGGCCCTTCCGAGATCAAGCTAAGTCAGTACTTTCCAAGGTCAACTTCCATTAACTGGAGAGTAGGTCACTATGGAAAAGCCAAATCAGAAACTTAGCATAGCTCCTGAACAAGTTTCCAAGCTCCTTGTAGGAGAGGAGGCTGGGCAGCACCTCAGGGAAAAAACACTGAACTTGGAGAGAGGCATCATTCACTTTTCTTTTTCCTAGCACAAACTCCCTCCTGCGTCGAAGAAAACAATTTCTCAGTTATTTCTCCTTTTCTCTTCCTGTCAAGAGACCATGTATGTGTGCAGCAGAACAAAGCATTGCAGTGCAGTTAGTACATACCATTGCCTTGGACCTAGTCAGAGGGAAGCAATGCAGGCGGCGGGAGAGGCAGGAGAAGGGAGGAGAGAAGCGGGGACAGAAACTAGACTTACTTCAAACAGAAGCAACACGATTGAAACAGTTTTGTCTACCTTTAATTAAGCCCAAATCAGCCCCAAATTTCCCCTGAAAGGAACATCTTGACCTTGAGTGGGGAGACCACGCCATGTGAATTCATCCTTTCTCAAGTAGGCTAACCAGCAGCAGCGGGAAGGAGGTTTCTTAGAATTCCCTTTTCTGCCACAAGATGGCCTCGTCCCGTCCCTGAGACTGGGATGAGCCCCTGGGAAAAACCAGGAGGCTGCCCTACAAAGGCACTGTCCTTTTTTAAGTATCCTAAGGACAAGTCAAAGAAAATGCATGTGCTATCCAAACCCACAGGACTGTCTTAAACCAAAACCTCATCCAACAGCAATCTCTTCTCTGACCCCAAAGGCTCCACACCTGTCCTACTGATAAAAATGCATCTTTGGAAATGTACTTGGAGAAAGAGAACAAAAGCCTTTGCAGAATACTTGTCCTATGCTGTTGTTCCCAAAAAGATGCTTCTTCACTCAATAAGAGGCAGCACTGAGCAGGAGAACTCTCGAGGTCCTCCTCCCTCCCACTCGCCAGCTCTTCATCTGGGATGGCAGGCAACGTGGCGAGCTGTGAAGCTTAAATTCAAGTTTTCCAAGGGCCTGTGGTGCTCCCTGGAAAGGCTGTCAGTAGGTACAGGAGACCCGCCCCATAAGAAGCTACGAGCTGGGCGCTGGTGTCAGAAGTCTGAGACAAGCATGCAGATGTAAGAGGGGCTGCAAATTAGGAGAGGCTCTGATTAAGCACAGCGTGTTGAATACCAGAATTCTGCTTCAGGACTCCCCACAGTCTCAACTGGGTAAAGGGCAAAACTCTGAAGTGTGTCTCAAACTGTCAAATCAAACTGTCAAATAAAATGCAGACAAGAGCGTCAACTTTACTTTCTTCCCCCTGCTGTTATTTACATTGTCACCCTATCATTTTCTCACAGGACCCTCAGACGCGGGGGCATGGGGTGGGGCGCTAGGGTGGGGAGAAGCCTAGGAGTGAAGGCAGGCAGGACAGATCTGACTGGAAGTTACACAGCAGTTACCTGAGGATTCGGCCCCGCGGCACCGATACCCACTTTCATAACTATTCGAATCTGTAGGAAACCAGGTTAGCGCCTCACCTACTCTCGTTATGAGAACGTATGAATACCAGGGAGAATCCTTGGTGGTTCACCATTTTTCCTATAAAAACCATTTAAAACTGTTCCTAAGGGCAGGACACACAGACACAGAGTAGTGATGAAGAGGATGAGGAAGACAACACAGAAGCATCGCAAGCTGCCCCCACACAACCATGCCCCAGGCCAGGTCCTCGCTTGGGTGAGGATTATTAGCATGACATCCCCATGGGGGCCTTCTTGCCACTGCTTTTGGGAACGAGCCCAAAATTCACAGGCCGGCTTTTCGGCCGTTGAGAATTGGTACCTCCAGAGACAAGCTTTACTGATTTCTCCTGTAGGTACTGAATGTGACAACGCCACTCAGCAGTTCCTCAGAGCTAACAACCTGCAGAGTTGTGTAGGGAACATGAGGTTAGACGGGACCCTGCCAACATGCTCAAAATGACAACTGAACATACATGTAAACACACAGCTTGCACGGTCACCACTGGAATTACAGACATAAGAAGGGGTTGTTCGTTCACACCACCAGTTAAAGCTCAGAGGTTTGAAATGTGACTAGGGATCTGCTTCATCAGCAAGTGGAAAAATATCGTTTGTAAACCCCAAGATACAGGTTCTGAAAGTCTCTAAATATTATGATCCAGAACGGAGCCTATACTGGACCACAAGGGAAAGGGCTGGATCATTCCAGAGCCTTGGTGGGCCACAGGCCTTGGACCATGACTCCTGGGTGGGCCCCAAGTCCACAGATGACCTAGGCAATGACGGTAAAATTCCCCTAAACCCGGACATGGTCCTGTAAAAGTCCTTCCTCTAGGAGACTATGAAGCTTAATTAACATAGTCATTAAATTTTGACTCTAAAAAACACTCTTCTTAAAAGTTTTCATTATGTGTCAATGGAACCAATTTTTAATGTTTCATTTCTTTCTAAATTTCACAGAGGCTGCCCACCAGTGGCATGCAACCAGGCCGTAACGGGCCATCTGTCCCCTCCATCAGTGCTCGCTCTCATAGGGGAACCACCTGAAAATACTCTCCTGCTAGTGAGTCAGTCAAGATGGTCCTTTTCCAAGTGTTTAAGCTGTAAGTCTGTGACAGCTCTGATCTTCTCAGGCTTTCAGCAGAATGCTGCTAAAACACTAGAAAAACCACAACTCAAGAGGCCTTCTTCTCATGATGGTGCACAGAGTGCCCCAAAGTCCTGCACCACAACAAGAGACCCAGTCCACAGGCTCAGGCTCTGTCCGGGGAAGGGAAGCGGGGAGGGAGCACGCTTCCTAGCAGGGGCAGAATAAGGGAGTTACAGGATGTCCGGAAGACTGCCACATGACAGACCATGAGTGGTGCTAAGGTGCCAGAAGCACGACCAAACATCCCACAGGGTTCTCTGTTCACAGCATTGGGGGGGGGGGGGGGGGGGGGGGTCCCTCAAGCTTCTATCTGGACCCGGAATCTTCTTAAGCAAACGTTCCTAGACTACAATGTGCCAGAGAGGAAGCCCCTGCTTTCCTTATAGTTGGGTAGAAAACAAGCTAAACCTTTCCAGAGGGTGACAGGCTTGTTCCCGAGTTAGAAAGCTGGAACTACGGTGATGGCCCATCACTGGCTATCAGGTGCCCAGCTGGCCCCAGGGAACCACTAACACCCAAGGTGATTGGATGGCCAAGCTGCTCACAGCTCAGGCACCTGTCTCCTTAGAAAGTCCGAGTCTGAAGCCACTCGGCCCTGATCCTGTGAGGGGTGTGGGCAAAACAGAGCTCACCCCCAACCCCCTGACACCGGGGCCTGGTCCCACAACAGTGGACCACAACAGTGTGGGAGACGCTCACAGCCGGCTTTAAGGCCCGGCCTCGGCACGGGGTCAGTCTTGGTTCAGCGAGTTAACGGCACTTCTGGCTGAATTTCATTCTTTCTGACTTTATTTTCCCTTTCACTAAATGTACCTTAATGTCACTTCCCTTACTTGAATGCCACTTTTGATTTATTGTGTTTATGGATTTAGATGAACTGCCTCAAAAACCTTTGGAAAGAAGGAAGGTCTGAAAAAATATGGGGATCATTGTTACTGAGTTCTTGTAAAATCTAACCCTGAAAAAATTAATATTTTTTACATTGTTCTGTACTTTTAAAAGCCACACAACACTGACTTCTTAAAAGGATTTGTTTAACTTTAGCTGTTTCTTATCCTGGGTCCCAAAGAATAATTCCTACCTCACAGAGTATTTCTGAAGCCTCGAGTAGGCAGGGAGTTGTTTCCTCCGTCTGTAAACCCACCCAGACCTGGGAACCCCCTCCGGATGCCACACAGACATGAGAACAGAAGCAGCTGCCAGGGAGGTTGCTGAGCCTGGAGGGAGAGGCCAGGGACTGCTCGGCCCCCCGGGCCCATCCTACTGGCCTGGCTGGACCTGCACAAACCCCTCCCCAGGACTCCAGGCCCAGGAGTCAGCCAGATGGGGGCACTCCCTGCGCCAAGCCACTCCTGAAGCGAAAAGAAGAACATGGAAGGTGCCGCCTTCCATGAGAGGGAAAGAGCCCTTGGCTCTCCACTTCTAAAGACTCAATGTCAGCTGAGCAGTCAGGCCAGACACTGCCGCTTTCCAAGAACAGAACCGGGCGCCCTTCCACTTACCATGATAACCGAGACCCCGGTGGTGGTGCTGTTCTGTTTGGGGAGCGCATTATTAAAGTGCTGTTTGAGTTTACCTGTTACTTCAGCTTGCATATTATTCTCCTGGGAGGCATCATCCTGCAGGAAAGAAAAGAATCAAATACGATGATTTCGGATTCTCGGACCTAAGTTGTGTTTTCCTCAGTAGTCACCCCCACCCCACCATCTCTTCCTGAGATACCACAGGGTTAGGGGAACATGACCTTCTAAAAATAATTACGGCTGTGTAGCAGTCCTCTGTCCTCAGAAAGACCCCAGGCCATTTGCTCTGTTCCGTAAGCCTACAGTAGGCTGAGGAGAGAGCACCGGTCTCCAAGAGCACAAAGGAGGACACTCTTTAGGCTTCTGAGACTCTCCCCACAAGGCATAAATCCCACAGAATTTAGTATACATCCCTCCCACTGTAACAACAATATTAATGAAGAGTTTATTATTTTAATCAAGAATTCTGTTACTTGTATGTCATGGCTGCTCATAAAGAAATGTGGAATCTCAGCTAATCGGGTTGAGACCCAAGTCCCTTGGCAGGATCCAAGAGGCCAAAGCCTGATGTCAGGATGTGAGGGACACAGAGATGGTGGAGGGGCCCAGGGAGACACCCCACCCTAACAAGCTGTCCAAAGCCCTTGGCTACACACATTAACCACACTCTCTCAGAGCTTCTGGGAGTAAGGAAAATGCAGACTCTCCCACCAGCACCATTTCATGGATCACATTTACCCTAAACCCAGAGGCACCACCAACCCCAAAAGATTTCTGGTCGACATCATGCCCCCTCCACCCAGCTGCAGAAAGGGCTGTGTCTCAGCCTCCCTACCCACAGCAGGAGGTGTCCTGTGGCTCTCCTGTGACCACATGCCATAAAGATGTGGGAATTAGGGTCTGAAACACGCTCGTCCCCAGGCAAATCCTAAAAACTCTCAAACCCCAGAAGCACAGAAGGCAAAAGGTGAAAGGCTCCGAAGAGAGCATTTCGACCAACTCTTTCATTTTGCACACGTTGAAGGTGAGGGCCAGAAAGGGACAGTAACTTGCCAAGGTCAAATACTCCGAGATCCTCATGCCAACATCTTTCTCGCAGAGAGCTACCTGCACACTACTTGCCCATGAGAGAAAACAGCCAGTTCGTCTGTCGTGGAACTTGGAGGCAGGGCTCAGCATGCACACTGATGGTTACAGAACTTACAGATGTTCCTTCCCTGAGAACATGGGTACTTACTGACACCCAGGGGTGGCTCAGGATTTCTCCCGCAGTACACCGAGCTTCGACGTTTACCTGAAGCATCTGACTGATTAATTCCTGGAAAAAGAAGACCACAGAGGAGACAACGTGGGGGATTCCAGCATAAACAGAGATCTGAGTTTGCACCATGTACTTCAAAGAACCAGCCAACACAGCTGCTCAGCCATTTCAACATCAAAGCTATTATCACCTACACCTCTGCTGTCTACCAGGCAGTTACACAGACACGGCTGCAGCAGCATGAAAAAAGAGAAGGTCTCTCCTGGGTCCACGTTAAACCAAGATGTTCTCTCCTAAAAGTTCTGGTGATTATCATCATTCCACAATTTAAAACCCGCAGTATCGTTCCTTTTGGCAAGTTGGCATGTCTTGTTCCCACATTCTGATGGCTGTCCAATATATATTTCTTAAAGAAATTAGAGAATGAATGTTTAGGGCTTAGAGAAACATAGGAGGGTGGCAGGGCAAACTGGGAAGACAGCCAGTCCAGCGTTCAGAATTTGCTTAAGAGTTTCAAGACAATTATCATATGCTCTCACTGATATGTGGAATTTAAGAAACAAGGGAGAGGATCATAGAGGAAGAGAGGAAAAAAATGAAACAAGACGAAACCAGAGAAGGGGACAAACCATAAGAGATTGTAATCTCAGGAAACAAACTGAGGGTTGCTGGAAGGGAGTGGTGGGGGAGGGATGGGGGTAACTGGGGGATGGACATTGGGGAGGCACATGATATAATGAACACTGGGTGTTATGTAAGACTGATGAATCACAGACCTGTACCCCTGAAACAAATAATACATTATATGTGAATTTTTAAAAAATCTTTAAAAAAGTTTCAGAGACTATACTGTGGAATGAACTTAAAGAAGAAACACACACAATAAAATTTAAGACAAAACCTGGAGCTCACTACCGAGAGCTGCAATAGCCCCACATAACAGAGGAGGGCCAGCCGGCAGAAAGCAACCCACATGAACAAACCATATGGGTACCTTTGCGGAGTCTGTGATGTTATCCCAGTAGGGGGCTGGAAACTCCAGCTTCCCAGCCAAGATCTGGTCGAAGAGATCTTCCTGGAGATTGTTCTCACTAAGTCAGTGACAAAGAATGGGAGAGAAACCAAAGTCGTCAAACAGTTTTTCAACAAAATGGTCACAAGAAGAGTGGGGTGAGGAGTCCAGTCTCTCAACTTCACTTGTTATGACCCATTTTTTCCTTTCAGACAATGTGCTAAAGAACGTTTCCATAGGCCTAGGTATCAGGGAGAGAGAGTACCCAAGACCCAACGAGTCTGTTTAGTGTGTACAGTTTCAGCTTGGGAAGACAAAGTAATTTTGGAGACAAATAGTGGTGATGGTTCCACAATACTGTGAATGTACTTATGCCACTAAAGCTGTACATTTAAAAATGGTTAAAATGGCAAATTTTAGGGTGTATATATTTTGCCAAATAAAGGAAGGACTCAAGAAAAAATGGAATCTGCAAATAATCTCAATTCTTATTTCAAAAAAAAAAAAAAAAAAAAACACCTCAGCATCTGCCCTCATTTAATCTCTCAAGGCAATGGAGTGGAAAAGTAGCAAATCCGAGTCAGATCTCCTTGCCCTCCCCGTCTGCTTTTCCAATAAAGCGGCCAAGATCAGTGCAGCAGCCGAGAGATGAAAAAGGTATGAGGAGCCCAGAATCTGAATACAATATTCATGACATCATGAGCTCCCCACTGGAACTTGACTTTCACTGAAGCTCCACCTGAAAAAAAGAACCCATTCAAGAACGGACGCGCCTCAGTGGCCTACCCTCACAGGGGCTCTTGCACACACAGTGGTGCCTAATGAATGAATGAGGACCTGGCCCACGATGGAAGAAGCGCAAACACTACTGGGAAGATTTCGGGAAGCTGGATGTCCCCAAACTCATAGAAAACAGAGCTCCAGAGCCACCTCCCAGCCCCCTGGCCCCCTCCCCCGGTGGATTCATCAGCTGCCTCGAGAAAACAAAGTCATTAGCTTTTTAGGCCATTACCAAACCTTACTGGAAAACTCAGGCTGGGCTGGTAGAGTCAAAATCCAGGATTGGACGTTCAGTCTCAGCTGGAAAGTGTGCAACCTCTCTCTTTGGAGCAGCCAACAGGGACCCTGAGGCCTGTTGCTCAGCGTACTCACACGGGACCCTCCCCAGTCTCCACCACATAAGCCCAGTCATGCTAACTGCCCTCTTGGAGTAAATGATTGTGGTGTCCGTAGAAGTCAGTCATGCAGGGCAGTGCCTAGAGACAAATTCTGGGGCTGCCTGATGATGGGATGATTCCCACTCCTGTTCAGTGAACAAGGGTATAGGCAAACCTCATTTTATCTGGGCTTCACTTTACTGCCCTTTGCAGATCATCTATGTTCTACACAGTGAGGGTTTATGGCAACCCCACGTTGAGTGAGTCCATCCGTACCACTTTCTAATGGCGTTTGCTCACTTTGTGTCTCTATGTCACATTTTGGTAACTCTCGCAATATTTCACACTGTTTCATTATTATTCTGTTAGGTGATCTGTGCTCATCGACTACCACCTGCTAAGGCTCAAATGATGGTTAGCGTTTTTTAGCAATAAATTATTTTTATTTTAATATTATTATTATTGTTGTTGTTATTTTAAAGTAGGCTCTATGCCCAGCCTGGGGCTTGAACTCATGACCCCTGAGATCAAGAGTCGTAATCTCTACCTTCTGAGCCAGCCAGCCAGGCAGCCAGCCAGGTACGCCTGTTTTTTTTAAACAAAGTATTTTTAAATTAAAGTATATGACTCGTTTTTTTAGACATAATGCTATTGCACACTATTTAATAGACTACAGTACAGTCTAAACATAACCTTTATATGCACTGGGAATCCAGAAAATTCATTGGACTCGCTTTACTATGGTGTTTGTTTTATTGCGGTGTCCTGGGACTGCTCTCGCAACATCTCTGCACATGCCTGCAGAGTCTGTGAGCTTTGTGAACATCCGTGACCTCTCCCCAAGCCCAGTTGAACTGACCTCTGCCAGTCCATGAAGTCTGGGTCAAGAGGCACACTGAGGAGAAGTCAGGCCAGACAGCCCGGTGAGGCAAGAGATCCCCACTGCTGTCCTGGAAAGTGCTTGTCTAGGACGGCACCACAGACGATTTCTTTCTAAGTGTCTATGATTTTTTTTTTTTCACTGTTTTTTCACTGTTTTCTTTTTTACTGTTATTTCCCTAGTGACTGGACTCAGCTCGAGCCTCCTTCCAGGTGAGTGAAGGAGGCACACAGGAACACAATGAGGTTTTACAGACATCTTTAGGAGACTGGAGGACCCCAGGAGACAATGTTAGAAAAAGATGTTAAAAATCACCCATATCCAGAACTGTTCCTTTTAGCCGTCCCTCTCTATTACTCATCTCCCTTTTATTTTCTGGAATACCAAACAGCTCATGTTTTGTTAATATAGATGTCTTTTAGTTTGTCAGTATACAGCTAAAAAGTTGGAAGGGTACCTGCCGCAAGTCATTTAGGTGCTTGGCAAAATAGTCTGAGTCAACAAACACAAGCCTACAGGGTCTCAACAATTAGAAGGCACCTTTTAGGATCCACAGTGAGAAATGCAAGCGCTTTGAGAACTTCAGGCCACCCCTCACTAGAAGAACAGAAAGCTAATTTATCCTTCGAAATAGTCACATAGTAAAAGTCACTCCGATGAAATCTACACTGCACTTATTAACACATTTATACTCCACAATCTGGCTGAAATGCTTTCAGGGCACTTTTAAATCCTAAAACAATACAGCCCACGGACCAAGGTGCAGCATGTTTAAAATGTACAGTAAGAAAAACCTTGAAAACAATAAGTCTGAGCACACTCCCTCTTTTCAATGGCAAATTGTTAAAGGTCCTATGATGTTACTTGAAATGTTATAAACTATCTCACAAAGGATGTTCACACAGTTCACTTATTGGGGAATGAGTGTATGTTTCAGAAAAAAAAAACAATATTATCAGTACAGTTATGCAAATATTACTTTATGTCAGTGGCCCCAAGAATAGACTTTCTTGGGCTGCAGCTAACCTCGCGGTTGCAGGACCAGCTTCTGAATATAAGTCAGCAGCTTTTGTAACCAGCTTGACTGCTTTGATAAGCTAGACTTACCTCCAGTTCCCACAAAAAAGCTGCTGTCCACTGAGCAACCAGTCACAAGTGACACATACTGTTCAATCTCAGTGTCGCTTTTGTTAAAAAGTAAAAAGCAAAATCCAATAAAAAAAACTTGTAGACTGCCCTGGTGTGTGGAAACACTAGAGGGAGTTGTGAGCACACATTCCTCTAAACTGATTCCTGATAACCCTTTCCCAGCTGATGCCAAGGTGGGTTCACCTAGGAGGGGAACCCTGCTATAATTGGCCCCATGATTATGTGCCATCAAAACACATTGCCCCCTGTACTTGACTAGTTCCTCAAACAGGTCAGTGCCCAAACCAGCCAGAATCCAATGGAACTGTAAATGTAAAATGGCCACAAATCATTCCACTCCATGAACAGACCTGGTTAAACCTTCTCTCACATTTACTCTAGACTCAGGTACGCGACTTCATTTGGTCCATGGGACATCAATCAACAAAGTAAGTCAAGGGGCACCTGGGTGGCTCAGTGGGTTAGGCCTCTGCCTAACACAGCTCAGGCTGTGATCTCAGGGTCCTGGGATTGAGCCCCGCATTGGGCTCTCTGCTCAGCAGGGAGCCTGCTCCCCCCGCCCCCTCTGCCTGCTTCTCTGCCTACTTGTGATCTCTCTCTGTCAAGTAAATAAAATCTCTAAAAAAAAAAAAAAAAAAAAAAAAAATGTGAATCAAGCAGAGACTTGGAAAATGGTTGGGCAAATGAACTTGCCCTCTCTTTGGCTGCTTTTGGGAATCCTATAAAGCCACCATCATGTGAAACCAAGGCTAAGCCACTGAACGCTGAAGGACACTTGACAGAATCTTATCTGTGGCTCCTGCTGACACTGAGCCAACTACCAGGCACATGAATGCTGCCACACTGAACCTCCAAGTCCCAGCTGGCCAGCCCAGACAGGAAGAACTGCCCAGTCAGCCCACAGAACTGACAGCTCTAACTTTTAGAGTGGTTTGTTAGTCAGCAAAAGCTGACTGCTAAGGTCTTCCCACCTGCAGACACCCAACCCTAGCCACAAGGACAAAGTCCCACTCAAATCTCTCTTTCATTTAACCTTCCCAGCCCTCAAAGGTGCAGGTCTTCATGTGTTTCGTGTATTCTTCTTGATCAATATTCTGGTGATGGGTATCTTTACACCATAAGGCTCTCAGAAGTGGAGACTGACATCTCTGTGTCCTCACTCTTGTGTTTACTGTAATGTCAGTAAAAAAGAAAACTGCTCAATTCATTTGAAAACTGATCATTTAAAAAGGATACACCTTCCAACTTTCCTGTGTGTTTCAAAGCTTTATAATAAAATGTTGGGGAGGGGCAGTGAATTCAACCTACTGAACTTACTGACCTAACACCACATCATAAATATGACATCAGAGAATGTGCATTGTTTGCCATTTGATTCCCGACACTTAGAACAGTGTCTGGCACACAGTGGCTACTCAACAGTAGTTGTAAAATGAACAAAACGGAGGATGAAAATGAAGAGAAAGAGAGCTCAAGAAAACTCAGAAGAAAATTATACTTGCATCATGAGTTGAACTTCTACTTCCAAAGCATTCATTTGCTCCAAAGAAGGAGATGGAACAGACCAAAAGAGGCACTGTGGTCAAAGCCCTGCACTCCCTTTGTGTACACCCTGCTGGGGAACTGAGTGTGCCTTGGGCCATCTGTCCCACACTTTGACAACTCTGTGTGGCCATCTCTGCCCTGTCACCAGGTGAGATATGTGGTTACCAAGAGTAGGTCTGTTGGTTCCCGGGCCTATTTATGCTGAAAGCGTTTGTAATTCTACTTCATTAAATATTATGTAAACAGTGAAATTAATTTTAAAAGAAATAATTCACTGTTTCTACAAGTCTATGAGAACTAAGATGAACATTTTGGAAAGTGAGTTGTTTAAAAAAAAAAAAAAAAAGACCTGCTGTCAAATGAAGTAGGAGAAATGACTATTAAGACCTGGAAAAAGTTCTGTTTACCTAGAAGGATCGGATTGCTTCACAAGCATCTTTAAATCTTACTACCCTTGAAAAAGACTGAGAATGGAAATTGTAGACATTGGATGATGGGTGTGTTTTACAGAAGAATGACCGTAAGAAACTCAGAGGACCATACACCATGCAAAGGCCTTGGCCTTACATCAAAAGTGTGGTCAAGGAATATCCATTAATAGGTTGTAAATTAAGATAAAAAGTGAAAGGTATGTTTATGTAATTTTTAACTGACATTTTTATTGACCACTTTCTGGCCCTGATTGCCAGGATGAGGCTGCCTGCTGATCAAAGGGAGAGAGTTTACAATTCAAATATTATTACTCAAAGAGCCACTGACCTTCGGAACGGTGGGAACCCACAGAGAAGTATGTATGTAATCACGCCTGCTGCCCAAATGTCCACCTTCAGGCCATAGCTGGGAAAACAAAGTGGGTGGAGGAGGAGAAATAAAGACATTACTCCTGAGGACCCTTCACATTACTGGAGTACTTGCTTCTTTGTTATGAAAAAGGGATTTCTCAGTGTCAAAGCACTCATTTCACGTAGAGGAATTAACTGCCCTTTGGACAGAGGCGTCCACTTTTCTCCCAACCTAACTGCAATCTTGGGGACTACTGGCCTCGGGACAAAAGTCCAAGCCTATGACTCCTGGATACAGAAGCACAAACCTGAGTTGCTGAGATCAAAGTCACGATGCAGGTAACAGTCTCTCCCACCCTCCACCTTCCCAGGAGGCATGTGAATACACAGCAGCACATACCTTCTTCCACCAAAGTGAAAGTACCAACCAAAGCCACCAGGAGTCTTACCCAGTTTCAGCAATTATTTCTGGAGCCACATAAGTCGGTGTGCCACAGACTGTATATAAAGGGCCTTCTACCACAGTGGCCAGCCCAAAATCTCCCAGTTTCAAGGACTTGGTTCCATCGGGATATTCACACACCTGGAACAGAAACCAGCCAACAGTCAGTAGCTCCTTTTCTCAACGATTCTGAAAGGGCCTTTGGAATTAGGTAGAAACAACACAGATACATGTATTCATCAACTAAAAAAAAAAAAAAAAACTCTCCCTGAGATAATAACACCATGATTTATTTTTGATGCTTTAAACTCTGAATTTTTTCTTTAGAAATTTTGCACGATTGTGTGAAATCAGAAAGACAGTACCTTCCATCTTCGCTAAAAGCTCCTTACCTAGGAGTATAATGAGTATGTGTGCCTGCTGACACAACAGCTGGGGTGCAGGCAGCTGCTTACCCAACGTGGCCAGAGGGGCCTCTAAGCTCGGAAACGGGAACTGACCTTTGTTGCATGTTTGCTGTGTGTGAGGTACTTGAGAGTCTTGGAAATGCTGTTTACCATGTCCACTAAAACAATTCCATGTTTAGCTTGGAACTTAAAATCCGGACTTATTTTTGGGACAGTCAATGGCATATTATTTCATCAATGAAATAGTCAATGGCATAAATATTTCATAGGGAAAAATTTTATAAGTTTAGAAAGAAAATAAACTTTGGGAACAGACAGCCTGAACCTAAATAATCAACCACTCCACCTGTTTCCTGGTTGCGAGACCTTCGTGAGCCACTCCCTGAACATGTTTCTTCACCTGGGAGAGATGAAAACAGTCCCTAACCCATGGGGTTGGTGTGAAGAGACCAAGCTTGGATCAGGGTTCAGTGAATGCTCCCCTTCCTTCCTTTTCCCAGAAGGTCTGGCTGATAAGATCAAATAAATATCATATTGCAAACGGTTTAAAAATGCTGGTGAAGATGTGAATGCTCTTTGTTTACATGGGAAGCAATCTTTCTAGAAAACATTTAAGCAACATGTAAATTTCCTAGAAATTATTTATAACCCTTGCTTTTAAGACCCAACCCTAAGGGAATAGAGATGAACCCAAAGGTTACACACAATGCCACCAATCCAGAATTTATCTATGTTTTCAAAAACTGGAAAGAACGTGAACAATGAACAAGACGAGGACTTCATAAATTATGGTACATTCCTATAATAAAATACTGTACACTCACTAGTAAGCACATTTCAACTAAGTACTAATCCTACGGAAAATATTCACTATATTACAGAAGAAAAGAATATTCAAAATTATATATTCAGTATAATACACCAAAATATTCAGTTTATTTCTAGATGGTAGCCCTGCAGTTTACTTCAGCTTTCTTCTTCACAGACTTTTCACTAGTTTCCAAAACCCTTACAATGAACATGTATTGGTTCTATAATCAGGAAAAATTAATTTTATTTATAAGCGAACTTTCCTTATGGGATCAAAGTCTGAAAGTTACATTCTAAATAGATGGTTTTTAGATTTAACTGCAGGAACTTTAACATCCTTGCCTATTCATCTTGAGATGAATTATTTTGAGAATAGTGAATTTCAGAGAATAACTACAGAGATCTAATCTGTACTAATGTAATGTCATTCTCTATTTTTATATTTTTGTTCTATTTAGTTTGCTTTTTCTCCTATTTTACTATGAACTGAACCAGATCCTCACTCAAATAATTTCTTACTAAAAGATGAACAATTTAGAAAATTGTGTTTTTTTCAAGATAAGCATGTTAATAACATCTTCCATGAGTCTGATACTTAATGAGGGGGAGTGATTTACACAGACATCATGAAAAAGCATCAAAATCAGGGCTCCCCCATGTCACCAATACCCAATCTGTAGAGGCATTTAAAAAGCGTGACACTGACATTCCTTACCTGCGATGTCCTCATCAGGTTAAGAAGAATGTTTTTCACCTTAGCGTTTTAGTAAGTGCTTCCACATTTATGTACTAAGTATACATCCCCAGCACACGTCTTTATGACTTTCAAGTTTCAGGGGATTAATGGTGAGGTTGTTGAGTCCCTCAGAGATATTTATCATTCTGAGTCTGCCACAACTCAGCAGAGGCATATTCTAAGCTACTAATGATTTAGCCTAAAGCAAGAGAAACCAGGTTCTCAGTCATGCCAGAGTCTTAGGACGACTTTCCATCCATTATGTTTAATGTAAACATTAACGAGAACAATCCGATATAGAGAATTACAGTTAGAATTTATGATGCATTTACTGAAACCCAGACTTCCGAAATTCCCCAAGTAACTGCAGTGATAAGAACATTCTAAGCAACATTATAATTTTAAATGCCTGTATCATGGAAGCAAAAAAAAAAAAGTTTTATTAATATCATTGTTATTTTGTTTTTACAAGTTTAAAATACACTCATTAGGTACATTTTTTTGAAAAAAAGTGTTTACTTTAGACACATAATTTACAGACGCCTAGGGGTATTTGGGGGTTGTTGTCAGACACTCAGAAGTCCCCAAAGCCCCATTTCTCATATTCCCTATAAGGAATTCAGAGTCAGACGCAGGACCATAAATAGAAAGGTACTAGGCAGTTCATAATCACTGAATTATGTCTGGGCAAGTGGCACTCCTTGGCTAAACATCAAAAGAGAAGTGTCATAAGGAGCAGACAAGCCTGAAATAATACTTCATCTGATTCATCACTTCCCAACACTAGACCCAGAGGCAAATATGTGAAAGATAATATGAGTTCATTTCAGAATCTTAGCTGGAGATGCTCTTCAAAGCAGGAGTATTTATCAATCTATACATATAGATGCACATTCGTGACACCGCTTTAAAAAACTGGCACTGACATACACACATATGGCATTGCTTTAAGAGACCGATTTGAAGAAAGAGCCGAACGAGTGTGTACAGGGGCTCCAAAGGCCTTCTGTTCTGGCAGAGTGCTCCGTTCTCTCCCCAGTCACTGACATCTCACAGAACCAGAGAGATTCCAATGCTTTTCCCACACATGATCTCACTAGACCTCAGTCGGAGTCACCCCCCTGGGTGGACAGGAAAATAACTGTTGCCTCAGTTTTACAGATAGGAAAACTGAGGCACGAAGAACTCAAGTTATGAGCAGCTATCAAGTGGGGATTCCAACCAGTACCTTTGCCACCTCATGGCACCATCCTGCACCAGCTCTAGGTCTAAACACAAGACAGTGGGCCTGGAAGAAGCCCGCCTGCGGCCTGCACCCACACACAGATGCTTAGAGAGTCTTGACCATCATGACCGGGACACCAGCCCCGCAGTGCTCAAATGCCCCACCACACGGAAGAGTCGCTCTGTCAGAGGCTGCATTCAGAATGCAAAAGCTGGAGATGTGAGGAATGCAGATCCCACATACAAAGTGAACGCTACGTGTTCTCTAAATAAAACGTCAACATAATGATTTAGAAGGGCTTCAAATATGAGAAACCAACCGTCTTCTCTCCCCGGTCTCCAGAACTCCTGGAAAAGCAGAATTTATCACTGGTCTCCCATAGTTAAGTCTGACAGGGCACCACCGGGCTGTAACTCTCGGCATTAATGGCCACCCCCGTGCTCCCTGACACGGCGACCCATACGTCTCTACTGGCAGGGTTTTAAATTATGACGCCGCTCTCGGAGAAGGGGATGCAAATCAGATGTGTGAATGCTCTGGTGCTTAACAACGGAATTCATTTTTAGGGTAGGAAGAGGCTGACAGTCACTCTGTGTATTTACATTCAGTGCCTCAATGGCACTTTCTCATCCTGGGGCAATAATGCCAACCCACTGACTAACTGTAGAATCTGCAGAGTGGTCTAATTAAGTTTTCAAGAGCAGGCACATATTTTATTTAGAGATGTGCAGCTAAGGGCTTCCAAAGCCTGACCCTTTTCTATCACACTTTAGCCTCATCCAGACATCCATCTTATCATCTTCTTCCTTCTCCTCCCCTTTGGGTAGCAGAGTGGGGTCACAGCAGGTCTTGAAGACAGGGTGAAGACTCGTCTGAGGCAAGTTAGACTGGATGAGGAAGTTGGTTCCAATTTTCTGGTTATATTCTGAAACAGGTCATGTTGGAGACCCTGGTCCCCATCATGTGGCACAAGAAAGGGAGGCAGTATCAGACTCTGAGATGTTCCATATATTGAGTGGAAAACAGAAGAAAAGGGAAGTAAGAGTGGAATTGACGTCCTGGGAAACAGACCCTCCCTAGCTTACAGGCCAGTTCGCCAAGGCCTCAGTCACCTTTCTCCCGGGCTTCAGCCATCAGAGCTGCAGTGTGGGCTGGCTGCACAGTGACCTATTGTCCTTAGGGACCCGTGGCTCCGTATTTCCAGAAAATGTCAGTAACCACAGCCACCAGGGTGAAGTGGGCCAGGGACAGCAGGGAGAAACAAAGGAGGCATCCTCATTAATACCACGGCATTGACATCTGGCCACAGCCAATCAAAGCCTTGTTACCTTTGCTTGTGGAGCCCCTGGGCGACCTCAGTTCCATGCAGGAGGAGCCTGGGCCTAACAAACAGACACTGTAAGGTCATAATGACCGAGAAGACTGTTTTTTTTGTTTTTTTTTTTTAAGTTTTTTTTTTTTAAGATTTTATTTATTTATTTGGCAGACAGAGATCATAAGTAGGCAGAGAGGCAGGCAGAGAGAGAGGAAGGGAAGCAGGCTCCCCACTGAGCAGAGTGCCCGACGCAGGGCTCGATCCCAGGACCCTGGAATCATGACCTGAGCCGAAGGCAGAGGCTTTAACCCACTGAGCCACCCAGGCGCCCCGAGAAGACTATTTTGAGAAGAGAACACCATATCCTCACTTCTATCCCGAGGCCCAGTCTATAATTCCGTCTCTGTTTCTCCTTAGAGTTCATAAAACCAAGACTATAATACATCTTGTTTTACAGGGAAAAGACATTTATTTTCCCAATAAGAGAACATAGACATGAAACGTAACTCTTCAACGCAGAAGACAGTAAGAAAAAACCAACCAACAAACAAACTCACATACTTTGAAGTGGATACTCATCAAATGGTATTACCAAAAGTAGAGAATGGATTAGCAGCAAGTCCCCAGGATGGCCTAAAAGCCTCAACATCAATGCATATTCCTTTCAACAATTACTTGTACAGTGCAAGTATGAGACAAGCTGCAAAGACTTGAGTCTGAGTGCCAGATGATAGCTAGCTGAGTGACTATCAGTGCTCAGTCACCTATGTCCAGCCTGTGCTTCCTTGGCACTGTCTAGGGCATTGGCGACATGAAAATAATGAAGACACAAACCTTGCCCCTAATGGTGCTTATCTAGAGAAGGAGTCACTCAGGTACATGATAAACTCACCACACCAGGGCACATAGAACAGAAACAAGAGGGGGCCATGACTGACTCTGTCTGGGGAGTTAGGAGTGATGTCAAAGAAGACATACCTTTTGCTCAGTGTTATATGAGAGGAATGTGTTTGCCATGTTGCCAGGAGACAGGATATTGCAAATGTAGACCAGTATGGAAATAAGCAGTGATATGTAATGGTGTTGATAAAGTTAAGTCTTAACTAATGACTGGGGATGGGAAAATCAGAGTTTGGATTATCATGATGTAGAATACTCAGAAAACCCCACCTCCTAAGCTGTAATGATGACAATACTCAGCCCTGAAAGGTCGAAATCAAGGAAAAAATGGTCCTGTGTGTTTTGGGGGCGGAGGGAGGGGGGTTGTGTGCTGATCGAAGTTCCTAATCATCTTCCCTAAAATTCCTCTACTGTGTGGACACAAAGGTTAGCCCAATTAGCAAGCTGTGCTTACTACGGCTGCCATGAAGGTTGACTGCCACTCTGGATAGATGGGTGGGGAAGAGTCAGGAACAGGACAGGAGGCTGGAAATGTAAATTTGGACCAGATTATGTAGCCCTCGGAGTGCCACAGACTTTCTTCTGGACAACAATGGGACACATGAGACTTTTCAGCCAGAAAAATTAGCATCTGAGTCTCAATTTCTGTAGCTGTAAAACTGAGATAAACGGACCAGATTATTTCCAAAGTTCTGTCCTGAACATAAACGAACCATCACATTCTATTTCTGTTTCCTGTAAGCTCCTGATTTTATCTCTAATTTATTCTTCAGAAGTTTTGTCTCATAAAATAATTTTCCTTCTTACTTTATTCAGCATAGTATCAATCAAAATGGAAACGGAAACATGTTTTCTAATGTCTGATAAACAATACATGCAGAAGTGCATATCAATTCAAGAAATCCATTAATAACTTATGGTCATTGACTTGAGTCATGGTGAGTCTCTAAATTTAAAATCTCTCAGTCCCTTATTGCAGGATTGGTACAGACTCTGAAGTGATACTGTTTACACATGATCATGTCATTTTAAAGGAATAGAGGCATGAATTGGAACAAAAAAATCAGAGATGACATACCAAGAGGTTCTCTGGCTTGATGTCTCTGTGCACGATGCTGAGGCCATGAAGATACCTGAGGGCGTTGGCCAGGTTGTACACCATCGCACTGCCGTCTCTCTCAGTGTACTTCGTTGAAGAGGTAATTGCATCAAAGAGATCTCCACCCTGATGCACACAGAAAAAGAACACAACAGAATGTCAACAGTGACAATCCTATGAAGGTAACAAGGAGGGTTCATCACCCTAGAGTAGATGAAAAATGACACAAGTCCATAAACAATTATTATAAATAACCAAAGTTTCAAGGTAGGAAAATATGTTTCCAATCAGGGCTTTCAAGAATATGATAAGTCTTGGGATTTGGCACCAATGAAATCTGCTGAAATCTCTCCATCTTCTTACTTTGACCAGTTCCATCACTAGAAAGAGCTCAGTAGCTGTTTCCATCTCCTCAACCAGCATGATGATATTCGGATGCTTCACCCTGCGCAGGATTGACACTTCATTCTCAATCAGGTGCTCCTGTCAAAGGAAGGGATTAGAGAGGTGGGTCAGGAACCACAGAACCCTCTGCTCTATCCCTATATTCTGGAAGATACACGACTGTAGACTGGACGCCGAAGGAAGCATCTCCCTTGGTGCAGAGACAAAACAAGTCCTGGCTGAGTCGGTTTCCATTGTGACAGGACAAGTCATAGTGACTGTGACATGTCACAGTCATTAACAAAAAGGAACAGACATCCTTGAAAGGGCTCAGTGGTGCTGCCCTGGCACACAGAACACACTGCCTTCTTGTCTCATCATTGCCTCTGATGCCGTAAGAGGTCATGAGACTGAGAAAGCTTGGGCACAAGGTACTGTGCTTTGTGAGTCAGCTGAAACCACTTTTTTTTTTTTTTTTTTAAAGAGAGGGAAAGGGATGCCTGGGTTTCTCAGTGGGTTAAGCCTCTGCCTTCGGCTCAGGTCATGATCCCAGGGTCCTAGGATCGAGCCCCTCACTGGGCTCTCTGCTCGGCAGGGAGCATGTTTCCTCCTCTCTCTCTGCCTTCCACTGCCTACTTGTGATCTCTGTCAAATAAATAAATAAATATCTTAAAAAAAAAAAAAAAAGAAAAGAGAGGGAGAGAGAGAGGATGTTAAGGAGGCTCCATACCCAGAGCGGAGCCCCACACAGGGCTCAATCTTATGACCCTGAGATTACAACCTGAACTGAAATCAAGAGTTGGGTGTTTAATGGACTGAGCCACCCAGGCTCCCCAGAACCACTTTTTGAGTATACACTCAAAATCAAGATCAAGTATATAAGGAAATTTGCACGTGTATGGAATACAACTTGAGCATTAATTTTTTTAAAACCATTACTAATAATGAATTTGAATTTCAAGATGAATTTCTGAGGGGAAAAAAAAAAGTTCTCCCTCTATGGCTGGGTATGGAATCATTCACCCGAAGGATGTTCCTTACCATCTCATATCTCAGAAATCAGGAAACATAGAGTACCACAGGGACCACTGTTTTCCACTGTTTTTATTTTAACTCTCACCACTTCCTGGAAAATACCACCTGATTATCAATCCTGGTGAGTCATGCAGCTGGGATCGGCACTGTAGCAAAATGTTTACCCACAGTATTAAGGAGTTATTTTCAATACACCAAACATGAATCAGGAACAACTACTGCTCTGTTTCCATGAGACATGAAAATATTTCAATAATATCACATGTGTTGATCCTTATTAGCTATAGCAATGAATTATTTTGAATTTAGGGTATGCTCTATTAAATTAACTAATTGCCCTCTGACACATTCTCAGTTTTCAAATACAACTTTTACATAAAACTTACCATATAAGAGATAGCATTTGCTACCTAATACACACATACATATACATCTGTATGTGTGTGTGTGTGTGTGTGTGCGCGCGTGTGTGTGTGTGTCCCTTCCTCATACTGTCGTCCCATTCGTCTTTGCTATCATGAATCCAGCACTAAATGCAGTGTTCCACTGCAATGGTAAGGTAATTATCTCCAGGTCAAGATGTCATGTAGGTTCTCCACGTATCTTCATGCACACATGTGGACATGCCTTTTTACTCAAAGCCACCTCAAACAGACTGACAACTGCACAATCTCCTGCCCACAAAGGCCATTTCTCCAATGCTGAATGAGCTGTGCTTGTCCAAGAAGCCATTTGGTAACTGTTGGCAAATGACAGTGCAAATGCTAAACGGAAGTAGGAAAAGAAAAGAAAATTTACGAGGAATCTAGTCGCTATCTATCAGTCTCTTTGCAAAAGAAAGTATCTGTGTGATGTCTTAACACTTTATCCTTAGAACAGTCTTTTGAGGGAAAATGCAAACCTAGGTTTCTGACATCCAAGCCCACATTTTTTGTACGACACAATATCACCTCTTAAAAAGGAATGCTTCAGTAGAAGTCAGAATTTTTCAAAGTGAACATGACAGCTGCAAAGCAGAAAGTACTTAATTCCTTGGAAAGATAGGAACGAGAGTTGGGGTTGTGAGTTGGGGTCCAGGCAGAATCACACTAGGGGTCCAGGTAGAATCACACTAGGCTTGGTGGGGAGGAGAATCTATGCCCCTTAATGAGCAGGAGTGGGAAGCCTATGCCCAACCAGCTTGGGGCTCAGTAAATGCTTCCAGATCTTAGACCCTAACAAACCACAGCTGCGAGGCTGGGGACAGGGCTGCTTACCTGTTTCCAATTCTTTAAGTCTAAGTCACAGAGCCCCAGCACTAACAGCAAACAGTGCCCCCCTGGTCCCTCCCAAGGGAAGCAGCTTGACAGCCAACTCCTTGTGGCCACAGGGACAAAGACTCAGCAAACACCACGTCGTTGGTTCACTTCCTTTGAGGCCTCTGGATGATGTGGGCCAAGTCTGACCTTTATAACACTAATAAGCAGAGTCAGACGGACCTTTGTGAACACGTCAAGGCGAGCAAATACATTTCTTTCACTCTAGGTGAAGCCAAGACAATGGGGGTTACAACCATGGCAGTAAGAGGGGCATTTTATTTTAAAGCTAAATGGATCTATCACTTCAGTCCCTGCACACACCCCCCAACTCCTCCCCATTGCCTCTGAAGCTGGAAGAGTCTGTAAACTTCTCTCTATTCAGGGGCTCTGGTAGGGATGCTAACTGAGAGTGACCTATGTAACATCATCCCCATCCCCAGAACCCCAGGAGCTCTCTCAAATCCCAGTTAAAATGAAATGTCTACCACCTAGGGAGACGACCACTCTCAGAAGTTATCTTTCTCAATAAAGGCTCAAGAGAAAGTCTTCTGGGAACTTTCTGATCGTGGAGTTTCCCGCAGGACCCCCGGCAGTGTGACATCTGAACTACTGAGTAAGTCCTGAAGCACGCCGTCGGCCGTGGCTTGTTAGCTCGGTCCTGGGCTCTCCTCCACGATGGCCTGGGTCCTACACACTTAGGGGGTTTCTACTGCAATGTGGGAGATGAGAGCCTTGTCTCTCAACCTCTGATGGCACCTGTAAAATGGTCTAGGAAGGAACAATCCACTTTTTAAATGGATCATCATTGGAAGCAAAACAAAAGTAGCCTGTAAAAGTCGTTACGAATGTCATCTCCGATTTCTTGGGCAAACCCTGTGGAATCACTGCATTCAATACATAAAAACATTCTCTAGATTACATTTTCCAGGGGAAAAAAATCCCTCTCAATACAGTATGAACGTCACTTTTATCTCAAATTGCTCTGAACTTACATTATTCAGCCATCTACCATTATTCATGTTAAGTGATTCAGGACTCTAACTCCAAATAATTTACATATGAATCACTGTGTGGCAGTGTCCCAGGGTTCTGAGTGAGAGTAAATAACAAAGAAAACTGCTAACTTGGCAAAGGATACCACCTTATCTTGGCCATGGTGGTTTTTAATGTGACAGAGAGAGAGAGATGATTTAGAGAATTAACAACTCTCCCAAACCAATCATCTTGTCTCTACCCGCCCCAGCCCCACAAAGCAGCCCCTTCCTCCTGTGCCTTCTGTCCCGCTGAAAGAACCTGGCTGCCCAAAACAGAAAGCGTTCCCCCAGCTCCTCCCTCATCCTCTAGGACGGTCCATCAGTCCCCAGTTCCTGCCAGGCCTGCCTTCTCAACAGCCTCTGAATCCACCTGTTCTCGTCTGTCCCCATTGTCACTCTCTTGCCTGGGCCTCCGGGCACATCCCTTGGGGGACTCCTATGTATTCCTCAGGTCCAGACTGGGCCTCACCTCCTCTCAACAGCCTCCCCTGCTTAGTCATGGCTGGGTTAAGCACCCTTACTTCTCTCGGTGCCCCCTTGTGCTTCCTGCAGTCCCTGATCTCACCCAGCTGTCTGAAGGCTTCTGCTTACCTTGCTCTCCAGCAACCAGCACAGCTGGGTCTGAAGTGTCTGAGTGAGTGAATAAAGACAGCATGACTTGCTCTTGGCCAACAGTGGCTTTCCAGCTGGATTCCACATTCCTTAGTGAGTATTGCTCCCCAATAAGAGGGGGAGAGTGTCCAAATCACCCCAAGTGATTTCTGTGGTAAGTTGTATGTAGTGGACTAAATAACAGCCACCCAAGGATATCAAGGCCAAACCCCTGGAACTTATAAATATTACCTTATTTGGAGAAAGGGTCTTTGCAGATATGATTAACAATTATGCAATGAGGAGACAAACCCAGATGGCTGGGTGCCATCACAGCCTCCTTATGAATGGAGGCAGAGGGAAACTTCACAGAGGGAAGAGGAAGAGGAAAAATAAACACAGAGAAGAGAGAGTGATGTGAAGACAGAGGCAGAGATTGGAGTGATGTGGCTGCAAGCCAAGGGATGCATCAGCCACCAGAAGCTACTCTGTCAAAGAACAGATTCTCCCCTCGAGCTCCAGAGGGAGTACAGATTTCAGACTTCTGGCCTCCAGAACTGTGAGAGAATAAATTCCTGCTGTGATAAGCCACCAGGTTTGTAGTAATTCATTCCAACAGTCTCAGGAAACAAATACAATATCCATTTGGATTTGTGTTGTGCTTGGACCCGTTATATATAGGTGATGAACACAGAACTGTGGAAGAGAAGGGCAGACCCCTTTGAAGCACCGGAACAGAGAGCTCAGAGCTTGTATGCTATGCAATTTAATAAATAATCACTTAGAATGAGTACTGATTAGGATATCAGATATGGAAGAATTCTTAAATTTACAGATCCCACAGCCTTCTCAACAGCCTCCATAAATCTGGCCGCACAGCAAATCTTGCAATAATCTCCTGCTTAGAGGCAGCTAACATGACTTCCATCCTCTGGGTTGTTGCTCAGGCTGTGCTAGCCCCCTGGAAGGCTTTTCTTTCATTGCTGCCTAATGAAGTCCTACCCACTGCTGGGAGTTCCAGCTCAAATGCCTGCCCTATATGGCATCTTCACAGATCACCTACTTCTCTCATGCGCTTCCTCCAAACTCCCATATATTCTCTGCAGAACTGCTATTAATTTATATGTGAGATTACCTTATTCCTAGCACAGTTTCTTGCACACACATCAAATTTTAGGTAAATGAGTCAATCTGATAATGTATATGTATATGACAGAAAAGCAAACAGAAGGCCAAAAAAGATTACAGTTTTTTTCTCCACATTCTTCCTACACGAACAAATGAATAACCTGAACTTGAATAGGGAACATGGCAGACTAGCTAATATGCAGGCTACATAATCAACCAGCACAGAATTCCAACCACGGCTCTACCTCTGTGTGACTTTTGGAAAGCTATTTAGTCTGAGCCCCTGTTTATCAGTGAAACTGGTGTATCTTGTTTAGCAAGTCATTAAAGGTCATGTGCAAGATTCCTCTGTGTGCAAGCTGGAGAGATAATGCCGTTTACTAATGTAGCTTCTGTGTACAACCCACAAAACAGAGGGACCCAACAACACCCAGAATAGTGGCCAATTCCATGGTGCCTCCCTCTAAATTCTGTCTTAAAAAACAAGTTCTCTACACCAATTTTTTCTAAAAATACAATTCAATGGGGAAGTCAACTTATTTGGAACACATCAAGTTTTTAAATTATGATTTTATACCGTCAAAGTAGAAAAAGTTTCTCAAATAAGCAAAATGTGAGGCTGGAAGTAAGTATACGATCATGAATTATAAAAACAGAATGATATTTAATGACAAGGAAAAATGGATCCAAATGTTTAAAGTGACCTGATCATTTGTCTCAGCACTTAGCGTACCTAGTGTATTTTTGCACATAAAGAGCTTTTTTCAACTATTAAAACAGCTGCTTAAATTTTAATCAGGTAAACAATATCCCTACCATAGCGATTATATCTTTTTTACTTTTTTTGATAAAAATGCTTTAATACAGTTGCTTAGAACATGGCTCCCAAAATTAGGACACGTTCTGCTTAAATCCCACAGAAAGAGCAACACTTATTTACATATGGGGAAAAGACTTTCCAGTTAAAAATTCAATAATATTGTTAGAACAGTAAGTAAAAGCACACATTTTTTCTTAAAGAAAATTAACTGGAAAAAAACCTTACTTATTCAAAGAAAAGGGGGACATTTTGTATAGTCTCTGCCTCATTAGCTGTCATAGTACGGTTAAAAAAAAAGATATGACAAATTTGTCTTTTGTCTTCCTAAAATTTCACCATAATATTTTAAATGTTCTGTTAAAAATACATAAGTTTGCAAATTTCCAAAGAAGACTAGTTTAGGGGTTCCCTAAATATAAAATCATGACTATCACTTCAAACTGTCCTAATTAATTATACATTCTGAATTTCTGTGGCATATTAACAACGTTAACAGTTAACATGTGCTAAAGTCTAATATACTGGTATTTCTCTACATGTTTTCCATATCTTAATTCAGTTAATTCTTACAATAACCTTGCGTCTTAGCTATTAATAACAACCACATTTTAGAGGGAGAAACAGAAACACAGAGGCGTTAAGCCAAGACAGCACAGCAAAAGAAGCAGAACCAAGACTAAAACTTTATACACTATGGCACTAGAACAGCACCGTTCAACAGAAGTAGAATGTGATCCACATATAGAAATCTAAATTTTCTAATACCCACATTAAGAAATTAAGAAACTCAGATACCACTAATAACTTACATAACCCAATATATCCAAAATATGATCATTTCAACATGCAATCAAAAAGAAATCAATGAGGTACCACATTGGTTTTTTTTTTCATACTAAGTCTACAAAAATCTACTGCATATTCTATATCTATACTTCAATTCAGACTAGCCACCTGTGAATTCTAGAACCTGCTTTCTTAACTGCTATGCTACCAGAAAGTAATCTAAAAAGGTCTCTGTCATCCCTGCTATAGAATATTTATCGTTTCAAACATAGTTAACATATCAATACTCCAGCAGCATTTCATCATTTAATCTTCCCAGACCAGCTTGAGAGTAGGACAGAGGAAAAAAGTTCATGATGGGGGGTGGGGGGCAGCAGGCAATTCTTCATGGTGTTTCTACCCAGCTTTTGTTACAAACTATCTTCCCAAGGATATTTGTAACATAGAGATTATAGAGATAGGCTCTCACTCAAGGGTAGAGGACATAGTGGTTTCCAGACCATGATCATTAAAAAATAGTTTTCCTTGGGGGCAAAGTCTGAACAGATTTGCTAGCAGCCCCCTTATAAAACCAGGGATTGACTAAAGTTTGAGGATCCTCAGCTGTGATCTAAACCTAATCTGTGTATAGCAACCAGCAGGGCCCCTCTGCATCACTTCCTTGGGACTTGGGAGCTAAGAAAACCAATGCTACCTGCTATGCCATAAGTCAGAAAGTGTTTTGTCTCTGACCCAGCAATCTTGTGTCTTCAGCCAGCATCCATAAAGCAAGAAGGCTAACTAGTTAGTGGAAAGTAAGGTAAAGTCTTAGACTCATCACAATTGGTGACAGATCTTTTGAGCATTTCATCCAGGGATCTCCCATAGACGAGAACTTATATTTTCTATAGCTAGGACTGGATCAAGTCAATTTATTGTCTTAGGATTAAAGTTTTTTTCAAAAATGACAATGGAAAATAAACCAGGTTGATAGTGTTTTCCCTATTATTATTAAGGGTTTATTCCTATTAAGGCCTTGTCAATGCCCACTTAAATTCCTTCACCACAGTAAACATCTCCATTTCTCAGTTTCTTTTATAGAACAGTTATGTATACTGTACCTTTCCACAACATTTAGCTTTGTCTATAATCTTCAGGGCAAATTCCTTTCCAGTGGACCTATGAAGTGATCAGAGAAAGGCAATTTAAAGACACAAATCAAAGACACAATCATTCTTGATTTTGTCTACTAAAGGATACTAAGATATTCTTCTAAATATCTTTTAGAATAGGAAAACAGTTCAACAAAAAAGTACATCAGGAATGATGGTGAGTGGGGTCAGGGAGACAAGTACCCAAAAAAAGAAATAAAATCCAAAGCCATACTGTCATTCTCATTTTACATTAATAATTATAATATTAAATAACTCACATACTAAAAGTACTTAAACTCTGTTGTATCAAAGCTGGACAAGAAATTTTTTCCATACTTAAATCTCAAAATAATTCTCTTAGGAGGCAGAATGAAATTAAGAGAAATGAATTAAAGTAACTAAAAATTTTCTATGATCAGTATATCTTTACATTAATCCATTAATAACTAAAAGGCCCCAGGATTTCAGTATCTCTTTCTCAGCCAAAATTCCAGATGGTGCCATATTATCTACACCTTTAAATGCCTGCATCTGGTAGTAAAAAGATCATTGACTTGGACAAAGAAATGTTGAGGTTGTTAACTTCTAATCACCTAAACACAATTTAACCTGAACAAGCCAAGAAGTACGGTTTAGCTAGGAAAACGCTTCAACAAAGAACACTGTGTTCTTAGAATAGGTTAGTTCTCTCAAGTGCTGCTGCCTTTGCCACTTAGTCATAGTACACGCTGGTGAAGCTGACCTTAGAGGAGTAACTTTCATGTAAATTGCTTCTGCATACCATAAACCAAACCCTGATGCAGATTTCTAATGAGTCTGTAGAGGTCGTATTTTAGATGCTTAATTTTTTGCTGGGTGTCAAACTGCACCAGAGCAAAGTCAAAGGACTCAGGGGACAGGGGAGTGTCCTCCACAAGGAGCACGAACGCTTCACTGGAGATGCGGCGAAACGGAAAAGCTTTCTGGAAAACTCCCCACCAATAATAAAAATTGCCACTTAGAACAACAAGGGGATTGACCTTAAAACACAAAGGCTCTAACTGGAGTCTTTTCCAGTTTGTATATTGTTTACAAAAGGCCTGGAATTTAAAAGAAAGGATTTCTTACCACTTGAGAATTTAGGACCTCAAACTAAATAAAGTTGAATAAGCAAAAATATAATTTTAATATAGGCAATAGTTGGCTGACCCTGATCTGAACAGAGTCAGAGCTCATGTATCTGAACTACTAGTACATACAACTAAGTAGTAATTGAAAGGGTTACTGTGGGGTTTAAAGGGGTTAATAGTACAAGCACAGCACTGAGAACAAGCCTGACACAGGTAAGTGCTATAGGAGAATTTTTTTTCCTTTTTTTTTTTTTTTTTTAATGAATCCTATTCTTTCCTCTTCCTCTCTGGCTCATGGATGAGATCTGATAAATTGCTCAGCCCAACTGCATACAAAGCAGGTTTATTCTCTGCATAGGTACCTATATTTTTCTGGGTCAAACTGCCTGTGGACTTACAAAACGGCTGGTTCCACCTAACTGTAGCTGTCCCACCTAACTTTTTCAGGAAGGGGGAAAAAGAGACCTCCTAGGAAGGCCTTTTATTCATTCGCTCAGGTAAGAATAAACTCCAGGGGAGAAATGTAGGTAAACAAATGATTATCCTCACTACCCACTCACCTGTCCATGCACTCTTTGACTACAGCAAAATTCCCATCACCAATAACCTTCCCAATTTTGTATTTCTCAAGAAGAGTTGATGATTCAGAGCACCTGTTTCCATTCACACCTGCACAAAAGGATAAATGCAAAGTCTAGCAAACACATCAGCATTTCATCTTGATTCCTACATATCTGTAAAATAATAAATTGCAATGTAATTCATTTCTAAACCGATGGTGAACCATAAGAAAATTTCTAAGCATATTTTCTGAAGAGAACACCTGAACTCCTGAATCACCAATTTCCTTTTGACCTTGTTGTGAAATCTGAAACCAACATAATCAATAAACCTAACATATCCTTGAAATGCCAACTGAAATAAGTAAAAGGAAATTTAACCTAAGCTTTTTAAACTTCTTTGTTAACTCTCAAGAAAGGGGAAGGGAATGATGGTGGGGATTCAGTCTTAAAATTTTTCAAGATTTCTCCTCAAGATTTTTCCAGTGAAGAAAATTCTATGCAGCTGGGATACCTGTTAAGGCTAACTCCTGGCCCCAAGTCCTCTCAAAAAGGGGAGGGGGGTGGGGAGGAGGAAGTAGTTAAAAGGACTACTTTTTACAATGTATCCCCAGTGCCCAGCACATAGCAGATATCCAGTGAAGAAAAGGCACTTCTGCTCCCTAATTGAGAGAAAGGAAAAGTCTACATGTCAGACTTGTGAGCAGACTGTCACTAAAGAAAAATAAAGAAAACTTAATAAAAAACAAGGACATTTTATATATCCTGAAGCGACCTCACCAAAGCTCACTAGGCTAATTGGTGACACGATTGCATCCCTGTTGAGGAAGATCATAATTTAGCACAAGTGAGTTTTGGGTGGCCCCCATGTTCACGTGGATGACTTCCTTTATAAACGTGATCATCAGATTGAGGACTACCTTCAGGACTCATGCAACGACCAAGTTCAGGTCCACCATTTACATTGGAAGAAGATCTGCCGTGTGCAGAAATCTGCTGAAAGAGGAGAGAGACCGTTATTTATCGTGAAAAATTTACAAACCTTCGGCTAGCTAATCCTTAAAGATTAGAAAATGCTCATATTGTGCAAAAGTATGATGTTACAAGAAGAGAGGGGGCATCTCTTTCTCCTCTCTTCCCTGTATCATTAACACATTTCTTCCTTATTAAAGTATTTTCAAATCAGATTGGATATCAGGAAACTGACAGTGTGTTGCTCTGTTTGATACTGGTTTACTTCTGACCTCAAAGGAATAAAGTAAAGGAAAGTATTATAGCACCAGAGCAGAACAAGGTACTTATTAGTGGCATATAAGGTTTAGAACTCTAGGTAATTCCAAGAAATATTGGTACCACGTCCCCAGATCCCGCAGCCACCCTGTGGTGGACCTCAGGGAGTCCCTGCAAAGGTGGAGCCGTTCTCAGAAGCCCCATGACTAGGACTGAATCACCTTCCACACCCTTTTATGGATTCCAGACCCAGAGTGCATGCAGCCCTGGCTCAACCCTCTTCTTTACTGACCCTAAAACAGTAAGAGTTCCTCCTAACCATTTTAAAGACTTTTATTCCTAGGAACCAGAGGGAAATGAAAGATAAAACTAAAAGACAGGTTCTAACTCAATAGGGCTGAAGTTCCCAGTCTAAACCAAAAATAATTTCTAATTCTTAGAAGAACTGAAAAACTCATATTATGACTATTATTAATATCAGGTTTATTATTATGTCTTCTTTGAGAATTTTTTCTTTATCCCTAAGGGCTCTTAGGCTTTTGAACTCAAATTTTTCTCTTTGAACTTGAATTGTTTTTCCCCCCCTTTTCTTTTTTAATTATTCCTGATTTCAGGAGCTTCCAAGGTCAAAGGACTTAACAAATTAGCGAGAAGCCTCTTCAACATTTTTTGTATCAGTGAACCTACCTGCCCCTATGCCCAAACTATGCTGGTACCTTTGTCCCATTATGATTGTGCCTTATTCATCACTGCATCTCCCGTGGGCAGCACACCGCGTGGTATACACCACACTGAATTCGTACTTGCTGATTAAAGGCATAAACAACAGGGCCAAACCAGGAAGCGGGCCCGTCCCAGAATGCTCACAAGTTGGAGACACTGGGTCTACTCTCTTCCTCTGGATGAAGTAAGAACCTCAGAGATCCTGGTTCAAAACCCAGGAAAGCCCAATACTCATACACATTGCTTCATACAGGATCATCCAGACGTTCTTCTAGAATGCATTACAAGCCTCAGGAATAAAAAGCATTAAAAATGATCTGTTTTCTCAGATGCCATGCAACCACATTGTGTGGACAGTAAGACCAGCTGCAGCGTGTCCTCTTAGGAAGGCGAGTCCAAGGAAAAGCAGTTCTGAGTGGCAAACATGCTTCTCACAAGTTTTGTCTCCTTCACTCTGACTTGGAGAAAAACTGTGTAGCAATGTGGGTGTGTATGTAGGGTTCCTTTCAGGCCCCCCTTCACAGATGACAATACTACCATACCCCTCTGACTCCTCGGAGTTCAGTCATTTTGTTTCTCACAAGGTAACTGGCAGGCAATGTTTCAAAATTTAACTTTTTTTTGGTGGTTGTTCTATTTCTTTGCTGCTAAAATTAAAGGCACCTCCAAAATCAGCTGTAGTCTATGCTAAAATGTTTAAAAGCTAGCTCGTTTAAAACCCAGGCCCCGAGAGGTGACTTCAAAGGAAGCCTGACAGAAAACCACAAGGTTCTCCAGTCAGTTCTGTTTCCACAGCTACTACCCTAGTTCTGGTCCTCCTTCAGCGTCCTCCTGGCGCCTCAAAGGCCTCCTTGGTTACTCTCAGTCTCAGCCATTCCACACAGGATTGCCAGGAAACTTCTCCAAGGATAGTTCTGATAGGACCCTAGGATCCAAAACTTCAGTGGGTCTTTGTGACCAACAGAATAACCCCATCCCTTGTCTCACTACCTGCCTGTCCAATTTGTTTCCACCGATTTTTTTTCATGATTTTTATACATTAACTCAATATTTTTTAAAGATTTTATTTTAGTGAGAGCTTGATCTCAGGATGCTGAAATCGTGACCTGAGCTGAAATCAAGAATCAGATGCTTAACCGACTGGGCCACCCAGGCACCTCTCTCTCTCTCTCTCTCTATATATATATATATATATTTATATATATATATATATATTTTTTTTTAAAGTGGCTTAAACGTCCCAAGTCTTAATTTTCTGCTCTGAATATAGGGATAGTAGCAAGACCTAGTTTGAAGATTTGTAAGAAAATCAAAATTAGCTCCTACGTGTAAACTCATTTCATATGTAAACTCACTGACATGTAACACTAATGCAGTATTAGTTATTAATATACCTTTCCTTAAAACATCTAGCATAAAGCCTTGAATCAAATGATTGAGAAATGTTCTCAAATTGTTGAATGTATAATGTAAAGAGATCTTTTGCTAAATAATTCATTTCAAATCTGTTCCTCTTCTAATCTAACCTTTCCTAGACTGAAAACTGCCAGTCATGGGAATAAGAGATCCAAATTAAATTCATAGCAGCCAAATTCTTAATGGAATAAAGACAGGAAGAATGTCATTCTGGAAAAAGTTCTATCTCAAAAACAAATGGAAAGCTCCCTTTTGATTACTGCTCACCCCTAGATTACAGTGACAGGGGAGGTGGATTGTAATACCTGGAAACAACAGTGGAGAGTGACCTGTTAACCCGCACGTCAAATTTCACACCCAAAACGGGCCGGCCCCACACCCTCTGGCCGCAGCTGGTTGAGTCAGGGTGCTGGGCAGGGACGTTTTCTCTTCTCAACATTCAGAGCCTAGGGAAATGTCCAGTATGCAGGCCCACTGCTGACATCCTAAGACCTGGGTTTGTCCCTGCCTTCCCCCGGGCCCGCTTGCTTAGCTCTCCTGGAAGCAGGGAACATTCTTCTCACAAGGCCCTTTCTCAAGCTAGTTTGAGTAAATTTTAGTTCACTGCAGGCTGATGTGTTCTATCTAACTCAAGGGCTCCATAAGAAGGAAGTCTTGGAAGGGCTGAAATGAAGGCATTTTTACATCCGTAGTATTTTCACATGGATGGGTGACTCCTCGGGGTATCTACTAATTAAGTTCCATGAGCCACTGTAATTTTCCCAATGTTTGGATTAAACCCTTACTCCAACCTATCCCAAGGCCCTGTACAGCCCAGCAATTACAAACTCAGTGTGTGTTGGGATTCACAGACAGCAAGGAAAGAGACCAGGAGACAGAGGAGGTGTGGGAACTGATTCCCTGGCAACTAAAAGAAGGCAGGACCCAGGCCAAAGCCTGAGCCGCATAGGAGAATGTGGCACGTGGTGGAGGCCAACTGAAAGGCTACTTTCACGTGTACCTGACAAACATATCACTAAATCATCAGGAAGTGAAGCTTTCTTAGCAAATAATGATGGCAAGAAGAGCATTTTTCAAAACTCTCAAATTGAATTTTTTTTCCTAACTATGGAACCTCAAACATTTACCAAAGAAACAAAAACAAAAACAAAAACAAAGACCTATACAGAGTTAACAGGAGTGACCTCTCTAATTACCTACCCAAGTACTATTCCTTTATTTGAAAATAATGCTTAGAAAATTAAAACATGAAGGGGAATCATTTCTTTTTTTTTTTTTTTTAAAGATTTTATTTATTTATTTGACAGACAGAGATCACAGGTAGGCAGAGAGGCAGGCAGAGAGAGAGGAGGAAGCAGGCTCCCCGCTGAGCGGAGAGCCCGATGCGGGGCTCGATCCCAGGACCCTGAGATCATGACCTGAGCCGAAGGCAGAGGCTTTAACCCACTGAGCCACCCAGGCGCCCCAAGGGGAATCATTTCATGACAGCACAGACAGGGACATGAATTGACACAGGAATGGCTGGCTCTCCTCCCTCAGCAATAACTGACACTGGGCTATTAGAAGATATAAAGGTGAAGGGACAGGATCACTACTGCCCAGAAGTTTACAATCTTATGAGGAGACATGTGCACGCTTAAAACCTTTCCGAGAAACCTTGACATTCCAAGAAATGGTCTCTAAGGTTCTGATGGTGACAAAGGACTCTGACAGCCCGTGAGAGGGAGCCATTTTGCTAAGGCAGGAATCTGTGCTCATAATGCTGGAGTCACACAGCCAGGGATTAAGTTCACTTGACCTCCCAGTAATGAAGCTTGGTGTTCCAAGGGTACGAGAAAAGCTGGGTATTCACCAAGATCCCTGGACAGATTCCTGGCAAATGTGCGGTGTCTATTGTGAAATACAGAGCAAAGCATTCCCAGTGCCCTGAGAGACATGCAGACAAAGAGCAATGAAAATGCTAGGACTACAAAATTCTCACTGTTTCCCAGGCACAGTTTCTACATTTCCCTGTTCCTGGTCAGAGAATTATTCTCTTATTAAAGCAAGGATTGAATTAGCACCAGAAATTAAAATATGGCATTCCTGATTAAACCTGTCCCGTGTCTATTATCAGACTAACAATTTTTATTAAAATCTCTTAAAATGCTAATGAGCGCTCCTACTTCCATCCGTAACTACGATGCTGAGACAGCACAAAGGCAGTGCCTAGATGCTGCCTGTTTGTAAGACCTTCCTCAATAAAGCATAAATGGATGGCAGCATCTGGGCTCTTTCAAGATTATCTTCTGTAATTACTAACTGGTTCAAAAAGAAGTGATTATGTTTAGGGGTGGGGAGGAGAAGGGGGCAAATTTCCTTACAAGGTCCTGATTGCCAAGGAGGGAAGGCGATGGAAAGGGCTGGAGATACTGCTGAGAATGTTATATAGGTTGGCACTGCTGCCCCATCCTGCTCCTCTGAGAGCAGCAGCAGCTCCATTTTTGAGGAACCAAGGAAAGGAAAGGCACAATAATCTGCTTCTGCTAAGAACTTTTTTTTTTTTTTTTTTTTTAAGAAAATTCAGTTTCTTAGCTGCACTAGCCACATTTCAGGTGTCTGATTGCTACATGTACCTGGTGACTACT